GCCCCCGCGGGCCGGGGGTCCCGGGCTCACCGGGCTCTCGCCGTGGGGCCGCACATCCAGCACCGCGCACCAGCCCTGCAGCCCGTTCATGGCCCCGCCGCCGCCGCGCCGCGCGCCGCCGCGCCTTCTATACGGACACGCCCCCGCCGGGCACGCCCCCGACACGCCCACTCCACGACCACGCCCCCTAGACGGCCACGCCCTCTTCACAATAACCACGCCCCTCTTGACCACGCCCACGGGGCGTTTGGCATGGCGCGCCGTGCCAACCTGCCAAAGCCGTGCCAAAGCGGTGCCGAGGCCGTGCCAAAGCCCTGCTGAGCCCCACCCGAGCTCTGCCAAACCCTCGCCAAACCAAGCCAGGGCCCGCCCAGCGGCGCTGAGCCGTGGGATGTTGTGCCGAGCCGTGCCAAACCGTGCCGTGGTGCCCCAAACCGTGCCAGGGCCGGTCCCCCCACGCCTGTTTGGCCCCGGGGCACCAGAGGTGCCCCCACCCAGAGCCGCGGGGCCCGGTGGGTGCCACAGCCGCCTCGCCCGTGCCGGGGGTTGGGGGACCAGGGAAGTCAGGGCAGGTGGCCCTGTGCCACGGCCTGGGCGCGCCGGCTGCCGCCTCACTGCCGGGCGCTAATTGCCGCATACCAGTGTGATGAGCTCAGCCGGCCTCAGGTTCACCACCAGCCCCAGCCCTGCCGGCCGGGGCCACGCTCCAGCCCCGTGCCGTCACCGGGGCCGAGCTGGGGCCACCCCGTCCTGGGGGGGGTTGCGGCACTGGGATCTGCAGGCTGAGGACGTCGCTCCCCCGGGGCTGGCTGCCGATGGCAAAGCCGGGGACCGGCAAACTTGGGTCACGCTCAGCTAGAGGAGCCGGCGCCTCCTCCCCCCGGGCACCCCATGGTCCCCGAGCCCCCCACCAACCGCTGCGGTGCCTGCGGGGAAACTGAGGCACGGGGTGGGGACAGTGGTTAACCTCAGCTCCGCCACGCGTGTCCGGGAGGAGCTGAGGGCAGAACCGGTTGTGCCGGCCCGGTTTAGCCACAGCAGGGACGCCGTGGGTGCAGGGCCAGGTGCCGGGCACGCTGAGCCTGGCACAGCCCTGGGCGGCGGTGACGCAGAGACGTGGCCAGTGCTGACCGGCGAGGGGACAGGGGCGTCCCTGGGGTCATCACCGTGTCCACCACCGGTTAAACGTCACCGGGGCGCGGGAGGCGAAAGGGAAGCAGCAGGGATGGGGCTGGCTGCAGCCCCGGGCACCGTCCCAGCCCCGCCACGGCACGGGGAGGGAGCCAGCTCGGCCCTGCTCGAGGCCACGGAGGGGAACTGCGGTAACCACCTGCCAATCAAGGCAATGGCGCTAATTAGCAGTTGGCAAGACTCCCATCCTCGTTAATTAGCGATAACGAGGATTTATCTCCAGGCCAGATCCAGCAGAGCGGGAAAGGAGCTGCGTTCCCCAAGCGGGGCAGGAGCCTGGTGCCACGCAGCCCGACGTGCCGGGGCCTGCGCCGTCCCTCCAGCCCTGGGTGCACGACGAGCCGCAGGCGTTAAAATGCTCGATTTTATTTAAAACAGCACTTGGAGAGGGAAAAAGGCAGCAGGGGGACGAAGGGCGGTTGCATATAAAAATAAACCAGGGTGGCCGGAGTTGCAGAGGCCCGCAGCCCCTCTGGCTGCCCCCCTGTCGTGTCTCGGAGCCCAGGGCCATGGTGTCCCCGCAGGACCCGGTCACCAAGGGGGACACCGGCCACGGTGAGTGGCTCCCCCCGGCAAAAAGCCACGGTGCAAACGCACCCCGAGACCCGCATGGAGACGAAGAGGTGAGACAGCGTCCGGGGGGTTCCCCATGCCACCGCTTTCTGAGCGGCACCTTCCTCCCTGTCGTTGGTTTGAGAAGAGTTTCTGCATCGAGTAGCTGCATCCGTGGCCGGTCCCTCGCCCGGCTCTGGGGTCGCGGCTCCGCTCCGGGATGGAGCGGCCGGGGCGGCGCGGGCGGGCGTCAGCAGGAGCTGGCCTGGAGGTTGGCCTCGTTGAGCAGCGAGGCGATGGAGGAGGGCCCGTAGGTGCTGTCGAACTCCTCGTCCGAGCTGAGCTGGTCGTCTTGCAGGGAGGAATCGGCGGCCGAGCGGGCAGCTTTGCGCCTGGGGAGGGAGAAGAGGGGTGAGCCCGTGCCCAGGGATGGGCTGGCACCCGCCTCCAGCCCGGCACGTCCTACCAAGCCTCCTTCTCCAGCGCCTTGATGCGGTTCTGCAGCTGCTCGTTGAGCTCGTGCTGCTCCTCCAGCTCCCGCTGCGCCTTCTTGCGGGCGCCCTCCAGCCGCTCGATCTCCTCCTCCGCCTCATCCACCTGACGCTTCAGGGCCTTCACCCGCAGGCTCAGCTGCGGGGAGACAGGGCAATTCCCACGGGATTAGGATGGCCGGTGCAGGGCAAGCACCCAAGGGTCCCTTAGGAGGGTCCCGAAGCCACTCGGCCTCTCTGAGGGCTCCCGTCCGCCACCCACCTGGTCCTTCTGGTCGCTGACGTGCTGCCGCTCGTCATCGATCTGGATGGTCAGCTCCTTCACCTTCCTCTCCAGCTTGCGGTTGGAGGACAGCAGGATGCTCTTCTCCCTGCAGCAAAGCAACGGGTCGTGGGCAAGCCGGGCTGGCAGCGGTGGGGGCGAAGGCACCCCCCGAGGCGGGGGCTCCGCGGCCGGTACCTCTCCTCCGCCTGCAGCTTGTCCTGCAGCTCCTCCACCCGCGCCTCCAGCTGCGAGACGTTGCTGCTGGGTTTCTGCAGCCCCTCCGAGCTGGCCAGGCGGCTCTTCAGCTCCTTGTTCTACAGGGAGGAAAAACCCCAGCGCCGTCCCCGTCACCGCCCGCAGGGCTCCCAGCCCGGGTGGGAAAGGCTCAGAGCCTCGCTTATGTAAATCCCGGCGGTGAGTCAGGGCCCAGAAACCCTTTCCCAAGGAGGAGACGTAACGAGTGGGTTATATAATGGCAATTAGCCGCGCTGGCACCAGCGGGGGCACGAGGTGAGACCGGAGGGGACAGCGACGTACAGGGGACCGGCGGGTGGAAGAGCCCCCGCCAGCTCCGTGATGCTCGTCCCCCCTCAGCTCCCCAATTTCTGCTCTCAAACACCCTCGCTGGCCAAAAAAGGCCCCCAAAACACCACAAACCCCAGCTCCTTTCCCCATCCCGCACAGCGGCATCGCCCCAGCCTCGGCAACCCGGCAGCGGCAATGATGGCGGCGGCCCCGGGGCGCGGGGCCCTGCGGCGTCAGCAGGAGCGGCCCCGTGTTTTTCTTGGCAGCGGCAATTCTGCGCCGAGAACAAGAACAGCTCGGGGAGCTCAGCTCCCGTTGCTCTGTCTCGCCAAGAGCCAGCTCGGGGTTAGGTAACGAAGGGTTTGGAGCGCAAGCCCGGGCAGGCTGGCGGGGAACCTCGAGGAAAGGGGGGATCCCACGGGAACGCCACCCTGGGGAGATGCCAGACGGCTCCAAGGATGCTCCGGCCAGGGATGGGGCATGGGGAGGCCGGGCCGGGCCGTATTCGGAGCAGGGAGGAGCAGGAAAAGCTCCTTGGGAACACGGTCGCTCTCCCAGGGATGCTCTAGAGGGGAGCGGGGCCACACGGAGACGCTTTGCCCTGCATCCCCCACGGTCCAGCCGCCCTCTGGCTGCGGGCTGGATCCGGCCCCTCCGCGGCTCAGCCTTACCTGCCTCTCCAGTGAGACCTTGTCACACTCCAGGTCCTGCCGGCTGGAGCGCTCCTGCAGCAGCTCTGCCCGCAGCTGGTCGATCTGGGGACAAGGACATGGCACCGGTTGGTTTTGCCGCGTCCTTCACCACTGCGTTCACTCGGCGAGAGATCGGGGCCACCGCAATTCCCTCCCATGACACCAGTGCCGCAGAGCACGGGTGGACTCGGTGCACCCAACACGGTGGCTGTCCCACGGCGCGCAGCCAGTGCCGATGACACCAAAAACCCCTGATGAGAGGATTTTGGTTCCTTCCTAAATTAGTTACTACCATTCTGGCAAGCAGCCCAGAGATGAGGGCTGCAATTTTCCACCGGAAGGTTTAAACTGGTTGGACTGGGATTTGGGGACCCGGCTGTGCTCCCAGCTCTGCCCGGCACTGCAGGGCACGGCGGCGCGGTCGTGCTGGGGGCAGGAATGGGTTTAATCCACTGATGGAACAAAACCAGAAGCGCCCCAGGGGCCGCTTTCAGGTTGACCAAGGCGAAACACGCAGCTTCGTGCGTTATTTTAAAGCAAAGGAAATAGGACTTTATACAAAAAATTGCTTGATTTTTATTCAAGCAGCCCCAAAAGCCGGTGGAGCCGCTTCTGAGCCGAACCCAGCTGTGGTTTCGTGCGCATCCCTGCTCCGCAGCTCCCGTGCTTCAGACAGGATTCACGGAAAAAAGCCTCTCCTGGGGTGTGCCCATTTCCCAGAGAGAAGAATGGGAAAACCGAGGGGTGGGAGCCCCTGTTCCAAGCCCCAGGCTGGATCCCGGTGGGGCAGGAGGGAGATGGGCTATAAGCGGAGGAGCTGCCGATCCCGGGAGGCTTGGCAGGCAGCTCCCGCCCGCCCGAAGAGCCCAAGCACCGGCTCTGGCTTTGCAGGTAATAAGCGGGTGGGTTAAGAGGGAGGGAGCCCGCAGCCCGGTGTAATTTAAGCCCCAGCTTCCTGCACAAACACAGACCTCGCCCTGTCATTTCAGGGGATTTTTTTTTTTTTTTTTGTTTGCGTCAAGCCCATATAATTTCCGTTTGCGCCCGAACCAGCTTTTCAGACACCGTCACCTGGATTGAGCTCGGAGTGACGGAGGGCTCCGGGCTGCTCGCTAACGACTCATTAATGGGGTTTTAGCTCCGGTGACCAGCCGTACCCCAGGACCCGAGTGATCCGGCGCTATTTCGCCGGAGCTGGGGGGGCTCTGCCGCGGCACCAGCCGCGCTCGGGGCGGCACTGCCTGCCCTACCTGGTCTCTGCTCCGGTTGACCCTCTCCGTCAGCAGCTCCACTGTGGTCCTCTCCTCGTCCAGCTCCACCTCCAGGCGCTTGGACTTTTCCTGCGAGGAGAGGGGACCAGAAGGGTCGGCACGGGCCCGGGGTCCCCACAGGAGGGGACAGGCGGCTGGAGGGGCTCAGGCCAGCCGGGGCCAGGGCCGGGGATGCTGGAGGAAGGGGGTTTGCTCCGACAACGCTTCCAGTCCAGCAAAACCCAGCCGGCCCAGGAGGCAGGAGGAGGGAGGTGCTCGGTATGAGACCCTGATGCCGTGAGGACCCCCGTGCGCCCACCACCCTGCTGGGCAGAATAACCCGCAACGCGACAGCCTGCGGCAAGCTGAGCCGCGGGGCAACGCCGGACAGAGCCGAAACAAAGCCGGCTGCAACGGCAATTAATAAATATTAATATTAGCAATAGCACCCCCCCCAGTGCTGCGTAACTCCTCTTTCGCAGCGGCTGCGGGACGGGGGAAGGCTGGGCGAGCTCTGCCCCTTGCTGTTAGCACACAGCACTGCAGGAACGGGGCGAGTGGTTTTGGGGCGCCGCGCAGTGCTCCCCACCTCCAGTGCCTTGACGTGCCGCGAGCGATCGTCCTGGGAGCGCTTCTTGGTCTCCACCTCCTGCTCCAGGTTGTGCAGGCGCTGGAGCAGCACCTCCTTATCCAGCAGCGTGCTCTCCCGCTCCGCCTGGCTGTCCTGTAGCGCTTGCTTCAGCCGCGCGACCTGCAGCGCCGAGGGAAACGGTGTCCGCACGCGAGACGTGTCCCCAGGCTCCCCGTGGAGGGATGGAGAGGGCGGCGTGGGGACCCACAGCCCCCCAGCCCTGGCTGTACCTCGTCCTGCAGCTGTCCCATGCTGAACTGCATCTTTTCCACCTCGGCGCCCCGATCCTTGGCTTGCTTTTGGGAGTCCGTGATCTCCTTTCGTGACTTCTCCTTGAACTCCTCCAGCTGCGACTTCAGCACGGCCAGCGAGCTGTGCGACTCCTGCGTCATCTGCTCCAGCTGCGGCAGAGCGGGGACAGCTCAGGAGCTGGGGACCAGCCTGTGCACCCCATCCTGCCCTGATGGGGCTCGAGGGGGGAGAAGGTACCCATGGGCACAGGGCTGGGGGGGACATTTCTGCCCCGTGGGCTCAGGAGCACCGTGGCAAGGGGTGCAAGGCTGCCAGAGCAGCCTGGATGACCCCAGACTCTGAGCAGGCACCAGGCTCTTGCAGGAGCTGCTTAGAGAACGGTAGGGGACAACATGGCCCTGGGACACCAGGGGATGCTGATCCCTGGGGACAGCGTGGTTTTATGGAGTCTCCTGGGACATCAGGGAAGGATCTGTCCCAACTGGCTCCTCAGGGAAACTGGATGCATCCCCAAAGTCCCGGATCCCTCCCCTCACCCAGCGAGGGGAGATCTCCATCCCGTGGCCCAGAGACCGGGCGTCGTGGCACACGATGCCCCATGGGACGGGGGTCGTGGGGGTGCAAGTGGCCCCAGAGGGACCCGGGCACCCCAACCTCTTTGTTCAGCTTCTCCGTGGTGCGATCGAGCAGGCGTTTCTGCTCCTCCAGCTCGCTCTTGGCACGCTTGAGCTGCTCCTTCTGCCGCTGCTCGTCCTGGTAGGACGCGCCCAGCTCCTGGTGCTCCTGCGTCAGCCGGGCCAGGCTCCGCTGCGCCTCCTCCAGGCGCGTCTCCAGCGACCGCTTGGCCATCAGCAGCTCCTGCTCTCGCTCCGCGGCTTCGCCCAGCGACTCCTCCATCTGCCTGCGCCCTGCCTGCAAGGAGGGGGCTCTTCAAACTCCTTCCCACGGCAGGGGAAGAGCTCAGGGCAGCTCAGGAACGGCCGCAGCCTCGGTACCTCCAGTTTGGTGACCTTCTCCTTGAGCCGTGCCTGAGAGCCCTCCCAGTTCTCGCCCAAGCGCTCGTACTCCTTCAGCTGCGTCTCCATCCCGAGGATCTTCCTCCTCAGGTCGTCGTTCTGCTCCTGCAGTTCCCGCAGGCTGGACTCCACCGTCTTCCTCGCCTGCTCCGACGCCTCCCGCGCGCTCTCCAGGGATGCCTTTGCCTGCAACGCAGCCACGGCACAGGGTGGACCTGGGGCCAGTCGCCGTGCCGGGGGATCTTGGGGGCAATTTGGGCTTGTACCATTGGGAGGAGCCCATGGTGGGCAGATCCGGGGCTGCTGGTTTGCCGCATCACCCCATGGCTGCGAAATTTGGGGCTCGCAGGAAGGTTCGAGGGCAGCCCACAGTGGGGATAGCTCCCGGGCTCACGGCTGGGTAGGGCAAACCCCTTCCTCCAGTGCTCACCTTGGTGGCCTCATCCCGCTCCTCCTGGAGCTGCTGCAGGTCTCTGCGGTACCGCTCCAGCTCCCCGTCGCGGCTGGACGCCTCCTCCCGCATGGTGCCCTTCAGCGCCGCCAGCTCCTGCTCCCGTTGCTGCAGCAGCTCCTCCTGGCTCTGCTTCTCCGCTGCCAGCTCCCGCTGCGCCTCCCGCGCCTGCCGCAGCTCCTGGGACAGAGGGGACGGCGGTTGGGGACCCTCGGCGCTGGATGCGGTCCCCGGTGCCGTGTGCGCCTCCTCCCTCGTCACCCACCTTCCTGAGTGCCTCCAGCTCGCCGGGGTCCACGGCGCTGCTCCGTGCCTGGTCCGCCTCCTCCCGGGCGGCCGCGAAGCGCTCCCGCAGCTCCCGCAGCTCCTCCTCAAACTCCTCCCGCTCCAGCTTCACCTGCAGCAGCCTGGAGAGGGGCAGGATGAGGCCACCCAAACCCACTCCTGCGTCCTCATGTCCCACACGCCCATTCCCAGGTCCCAGCGTGCCCAGAGAGCGGCACCCAGCTCAGCCGTCACCTTTCTCCCTGCGTGCCCAGGGGAGGAGAAGGCGAACCGGCCCCAGCCCAGCTCCCAACCCATTCTAACGGGGTTTGGAGTGAAGATGCTGGGTGGTTGCGAGTGGCTGTACCTCCCTAAAAGCTGCTCGTGCCTCTGGCTCAGCCGCAGCCCCAGCACTTACTCCTGCTTGGTGTTGCGGAGCTCGTCTTTGTTCTTCTGGAACATGTCCCGCCAGTGCCCCGTCTCCTCCGCGCTCTCTTCCAGCTCCCGCTGCAGGTTCCTCACCACGGTGTTGATCTTCTGCCTCTCCGACTCCAGGTCGGCCTGATCCTGGAGCGAAGCGTTGAGCGCTCGCCCGCAGAGCGGCATCCTCACGGGATGCTCCAACAGTGCTGAGGTCCTGCCCTGGTCATTGCCCCCGAAGCAGCCCGGGGAACCCACGCGGGGGCCTGGGGAGCCCCCACACCTCCGCAAACTGGCTCCGCTCAGCCCCCAGCATCTCCGCCCTGGGGCGGCGAGAGCCAGGGCAGATGGATGCTCCGATGGGGCAAGCTTGGGGCAGGACACAAACCCCCTTTCCAGCTCAGGACCATTTAAAGGGGGAATTCAAGGACACCAACTCAAAGCAAAGACCCTCCCCAGCCACAGCCAGAACGACCCCGTGCTCCATCCCTCCCCGGCAGCCCTCCTCACGGCCAGACCTGCGAGATGCCCTCCATGCTGCGCCGCAGCTGCTCCATGTCGTTCTGGTACTGCTGCCGGACACGGTCGAGCTCCTTGTCATGGCTGGCCACCTCCTCCTTCAGGGCTCCCTTCAGCGCCGTCAGCTCCCGCTCCCGCAGCCGCAGCTGCTCCTCCTGCCGCTGCTTGGAGCTCAGGGCCTCTTCCAGCTCCTCCCTGGTCTCCAGCAGCTCCTGGGCGAAGGGGACAGCCGGGCTTAGCGGCAGCAAAGAGGCACAGAAGGGTGCTCATGCCCTGGTGCAACCGGCACCGTACCTTGTACAAGGCTTCGCTGTCCGGGGACGCGCCGGAGCCCTTGCGCAGGCGGTCGAGCTGTCGGTGCATGGCCAGCAGCTGCTCCTCGCAGTCGCCCAGCCGGGTCTCTGCCTGCTCCTTGGCTGTTTTCACCTCGCTCAGCCTGGAGGGCAGCGCGGGGCCCTTCACAGCCTGGCAGGGACCTGCTCTCCCCTTGAGACCCCGGCCACATCTGCACCCCGAAGGGCCGGGGCTGCAGCACCCACCCGCGAGCATGGTGGACGGCTCGTCCTGGCACGGCAAAGGGGCCAGGGACAGCAGGGGTGACAGCCACCCACCCTGCACTCCCCCAGCCCTCTTTGCATCTCCAGACACCCCTGCCGCCCTCCCACCACCCTCCATCAGCATCCCCAGCCCTGGCGCGTTCTGCAGCGTGGCCGCAGCCCCCGGGAGCAGCTCTTACTCTTGCAAACTTCTCTGCAGCTCCTGGGTTTTCTTCTCCAGGGCGGCCCGCAGACGCTGGCTCTCCCCTTCGGCCTCCCGCAGCCGGGCTTCCAGGGCCCGAGCGGAGCCGCTCCTCCCCGGCTCCCTGGTCAGCTCCAGCTTCTGGCGGAGCTGCAGGAGAGGGGACACCGGTTGGGCAGAGCGGCCAGCGACCGCAGCGATGCTCCCTGTCCCCCTCCCCACATCCCCCGGCTCCGGCGGGGACGGGAAGGACGCCTGCACCCCCAGCATCCCTGAGACCCCCAGCAGGGTTAAAACAGACCAGGAGAAAACTTGGTCTCGCCTGGGCACGAAGCCCAAGTGAAGGGGGCTCAGAGCAGGGACCCATCGTGCTTCCCCCTCCAGGGACATAAACCGGGATCCCACGTCCCCCGGAAGCCCCCAGCCTTCCGCCTGGCTTCACCTTGGTCTCCTCATCGAGCTTCTCCTGCAGCTCCTCCACCTTCCGGGCCAGCTCTCTGTGCTGGGGCTGGGAACACACCGCGTCCTTAGCGGGCACCTGGAGAGACCCCCCAGGCTCACTCGGTGGGTTCGGGGCACCAAAACCCCGCCAGGGCCACAGCTTGGTCCCCAGCCACCGCCTGTCAGCTGCATGCTGCTGGAGTCCCGTCCTCAGCATGCCAGGACACCGTGCCGGGAAGGCAGGAGCCCCCCAGGGGGCTTGGGACCGGTCTCCCCACCGAGCAGGGAGCAGCACCGGGATGGCCCCGACTCACCGCCAGCTCCTGCATCTTCTCAAGCAGCCGGGCAGTTTTCCTCTTCAGGGAGATTTCGCTCTCGCTGCTCCTGAGGGCGTCAGAGGCGGGGGAAGCGATTGGGGCTCACTCCCCCAAAATCCTGAGCACCGGCTGGATACAGGGGCACCCCCGCTCCCAAATCACCCCGCAGCATCCCACCCGCAGCCACCGGTGCTTCAGGGAGGGGGCAGGGAGCGACGGGGGCATGCGGGGGCCTTGGGGTCTCACCCTTCCTTCAGGATGCTGTAGATGAGCTCCTTGGGGTGCTCGCTGCTGCCGGGCTGGGCGACCTCCCGCTGGTCGCGCAGCAGGTCCGGGGTGGATTTGAGCTGCTGTGAGAGATTAAAAAGCTCAGCTCCGGCAAGGACACGAGCCGCCCCGCAGGTCCCACCACTCCGGAGGACACCGGTGCTCGCCTTGGTGCCGGTGCCCCCCTTGGTTAAGGAGCTGGTGACCCTTGTGATCCCAGCAGGATCCAGTCCCCCCAGTACCTGCAGCTCCGCCCGGGCTTTGCTCTGCAGCCGCTCAGTCGTGGGCTCCTCCACGGCCCGGTTCGCTTGCTGGCTCCTCGTCCCCCCGTCCTCCATCCCTCCGGCTCCACTTGGGCGGCTCAGGCTGCCGGCGGGCACTGAGGGGTGGGGGCGAACGCCGCTGGCCCGGCGCTGGACACCGCTCAGCTCCCCGGCATCCAGCATGTCGCGGTGAGAGACGCGGCCATCCAGGCTCTGCGAGCGTTTCCTCTCCTCCGAGGGGATCCGGCCCCTCCTGGCCGCCCGGCCTCGCTGCTGCACCTTCCCGTCGAACTTGCTGATGAGTGAATCCACCGAGCAGAGGGGTTTGGTGTCCACGTCGCAGCCGCCGGCATCCACTGTGGCCTCCGTGTCTGAGCAGGGGTCCTTGGCCATGGCCCTCGAGCTGGAGGCTTTGCTCCGCTCCGGCGCAATGTTCAACATGCTGCTGCTTTTGCCGCCGGCCAGAGCCCGGTGCTGCCGGCTGCCGCTGGCCCGGGGAGTGCCAGCGGCAAGGGGCTCATCCATGGCGGCACCGAGCAGATCCCCATGGGACTGTGTCCTCCGCAGCTCCTCCCCGAGCGGCCGCTTGCCCGGCGGAGGTTTGGGCTCATGCCGAGAGGTCGCCGGGACGCCACTCACCTCCTCGTCCGAGGTGCTGTAGGACGAGCCATGCCGGGGCTGCCGGCCGGCGTAGGGGTTTTCTGGCAGGTCCGAGTCGGAGCTGACGGAGCCGGAGGGCTGGGGGCCGGTGGGGGCGTTCGGGTAGGAGCCCTCGCTCTTGATCTGCACCCCGAAGGAGTCGCCACCCTTCTCGCCGCTGTTGAGGACGACGAAGGGCTGCCCGGCGATGCCCTGCACCCGCACCGCCACCCCGTAGGAGCCGGGCTTGCCCCGCGCCTTGGGGGGTCTCCGGGGCTCCTGCAGGTCATTGATGAAGCGGATCTGGACGCCGTAGTCCACGGGGCTCTGCTTCTCCGCCATGGCCGTGCTCACCGGCCACTCCATCCCCGGGGCTCAGCGCCGTGGTCCTGAGGGAGGGAGAAAGGGGGAAGAGTCATCCTCCGATCAGAGGGGGTGCTCGGTGAAGGTCCGGCAGCACTTTCCCGTGAGGACGGGTGCCAGAGGACAGCCAGTGCCGGCGCTGCAGCGTCCCCAGGACAGGACGGGGACAAGGCTTGCTGCGCCAGCACCGGCATCGCCCGGCCGCGCCCGGGGGGACGCTGGGGAGGGCAGGGGGAGCAAAGCCCCCCCACCCTGCACGCAGCATCGGCGGGCCGGGCCCCCCCCCGTCCCCCCGCCGTTCCCCCTTGCGGGGGGGGCCGCCCCCTGCCGTTCGCCCTTGGCGGCGGGACCCCAGGGATGCGGAGAGGAGGCAGAGATCCCAGCTGGGCTCTGCACCCGGGCTGCGCTCCCGCTGCCTCCCAGACGCCTGCGGAACACCGCAGCCTCGCTGCAGCCGGAGCTCCGGCGTCCCTCAGCATCACCCCCAGCGCCCGCCGTCCCCGCGGCCGGGGCAGCTGCCCGGGTCCCTTGGGGAGGGGACAGATATGAGCAGTGACATATTGGGAACAGCGTGATGTAACCCTCCCCCTCGGTCCTGCGGCACCCAGGGCGATGCTGCCCGGCAGGAGACCGGCAGGAGCGGAGGACACGGCGGGGGCCGAGCTCCCCCATGGGCACCTTGGGGGCGAAGTGACAGAAAAGCCCCGCATCAGCCCCTGAGCCCCACAGCATCGTGCCTTCACCCCCCAGCGCACCGGGAGCAGCAGCGGCTTCTTTATCTGCTGTAAATAAACTGGATGCCGGGAGTGACGCGAGGTGCCGAGCGCTCAGCTTGCGCCCACGTCCCCGGGAGGGCGACCCTGGGGGACCCCGGGACCCAAGGGGACCCTGAGCCAGGTGGGGGGGGTGCTTAAACACCTCCACCATGGAGGAAAACAAAAAAGCAAACCCAAACCCCCATGCTTTCAGCTCGGGTCCAGACATCGCCCCCAGAGTTGCCCCGGCCCAGAGCGGGGGCAGGCGGGGATGGAGCATGGATGCGGATGGAGCAGCGGGACGCCCGGCACAGCTGGGCTCTCCCATGTCCTCGCATCAACCCTGAGCCCACGTCTCATCCCGTGCCCACCCCAGGGAAGAAGCCGAAGCCCTGCTGCCATGGGACGCAGCTCTCTGCAGAGAGAGGGAAGGCACCGGAGATGCCGGGCCCGGAGCAGCAGCGTGGGCCGGAGGTGGCAGCGGGCGCCGTGCAGACCCGGCCGGGCAGTGCCAGGAAGGATGAGCCGTTTGCTTCCCCTGGCCCTGCCAGCTCCCCACCGCCACCGTCTGCTCCCGTCCCCCAGCCAAACTCGGCAGGGGCGGCTCCTGCAGCTCCTCCGTTTTGCCGGAGTCCCGACGAGCCCTTTGGGTCTCCTGCACCCCTCCCCAGACCCAGCGGCGAGGGCAGCAACCAGGAGCTGCAGGCAGCAGCAGGCAAGGGACTGGCTCGTTACTTTGCAGGTGACGGAGCCCGGGAGCCAGCACAGGGGATGGGAGAAGAGCCCTCGTCTCATGAGCTCGCTATCCCTGCACGGCGTACAGCTAACGAGATCAGCGGCAGACACCAGCCTCTGTAAATACTCCCCGAGCCCAACACCTGCGGCGAGAGCCCCTACAGCAAATCTCATCGGTCCGGTCCCTCGGGTGCCGCAGCGTCCCCTCCAAGCCGCGGGGACGGGGGCCTGGGGGGAACAGGATGGCCACCAACCTGCAGCAGCAAAGCGAGGGAGGGCAACCAGCTTCAGCAGCAAAATTCAGAATTTTCCACAGCTGCCAGCGTCCAAAGTGCGGCCGGGGATGAGGCACGGCCCGGGCAGGGAGAGGGCTTGGCCCTGGCTGCTATCGGGGTGGGAACCACGGGCCCTGGGCGCAGCACCCGCCTCGGCAAGACCTTTGGATGGGTGGCAAGGGGGGGGTGCAGCATCGTGGCATCATGGTGGCACGGCATCCTCCACGGCATTGCCAGCGGGGCAGGGGCTCGCCGAGCAAAGCGCCGGCTGTCCCAGCATCACCGCCACCGGCAAAGGACACGGCTCTGCTGCACCACCTGCCCCTGCCCTGGCAAAGCGGGAACCAGGTGGCGGATAACCGCGGGGGTCGGATGCGGCTGGGGACGTGGCTGGGCTCAAACCCAGCTGGCACAGGACCGGACCGGGGAGAGGAGGGTTTGCTCTTTCCAAGGGAGCGCTGGCTGGAGATGCACGGCTTCGCTCCCGGCGTTGGGGGGCTCCGGCGCACGAGCCGGCGTTTGGGGAGCAGGTGAGGCAGGCGATCGCATTCCTGTGTGGGAGAGCAACACCCAACCCTGGGCTGGAAACAGCCCCAGGAGGGGATTTCACTGGAAACGGCAGGGAAGGAGCCTGGAAGCAGGAGGGATGGAGAATCAGGGCTAAGAATAGGCTGTCTGTTGTCCCCGGGCCGCGCGTTGTGCTCCAACACACCTTAACCCCGCCCTGGCTCGGGCTGGCAGCGACGGCACCGAGCGGCGGGGGTCCTGCGCCCGGCCAAGGCGAGAGCGGAGCCGGCAGGAGCAGGCAGGCAGCGAACCGGCAGGAGAGGTCTCTTGCCGGTGGTCACGCACCTCCGGCATCACGCTGCCGGCCGGCAGCGCTGGGATGGCGGGGGGGGCGCCGCTCGCCCGTATCAGCGGCACAATAAGCCCTTTGTGCCGACGACGTTAACCCAGAAAGTTGTTTTGCAATTTGCAGGCGGTGCTGGAAAAGGCTCCTACGCCGAGCAGGGCTCTGTGCCGCCGCGGCTCCCCACTCCCAGCACCAAGAACACCTGGGTGGGAAAGGTGAAGGCTGCCAGGTCGGGCTGATCCTCCTCCGCCAAGGCCAGCCAGGTAATCTGACCGCAGGCAGTCGCACACCAGGAAGCCGGCGAGGAGCCGGCACCGTTTTGCGGTGAAGCTGGAGCCTATCTCTGAGCTGCCTTGGTCCGAACCGAACGGGTCAGGTCGTGCGGCCGCACCCCCTGAGCACGGCGAGCAAAAGCTGTCCGATTATCCCAGAGCGCTTCGTGTCCAGACCGACGTCGTGGGGAAGGGGCCAGCAGAGATACACGAGCCTGGCAGTTCTCCCACCCCCTGCTTTGTGGCTCCCGGCACGGTTTAGGCCATTTCCACCCAGGGCTTCCCCAAAGCTTTGCTCACCTGCAAGGCTGCTTGCTCAACCGTGTTTGTACACAGCCCTGGTTTTGCTCGGGGCCAAAGTCCAGGCCTGATCTCAGGCGCAGGCAGCACACGCCGTGCCTGCGCCCTGCCTGTCACCGGGCCAGCCCGCGCCGACACCGGCGGAGACCGGCTGTTCCTGCTCTCCCGCAAACTCCGGAGCACGAAACCCCGATAAATCCTCGGCTGAGCACATGAACCGTGCGCTGTGGCCAGGTCAGAGGAACCCGAAACCAGGGCACCCGCGGCTGCGTCACACAACAGGGACGGGCTCATCATGACGCTGGCCGGCATCGCGCCGGGGGGCTGGAAGAGGAACGATGCCAGGGAATGAGGGTCGCCCCGCAGGCAATGTCCCCTGGGGCTCCCACCGGAGCTGATAAGAACCGAATTCCTTCGTGCCCCAGCCCAGCGGCAGGCAGAGCCCTCAGGTTAATCATCAACCCAGATACTGGAAAATCCCGTTCCCTGCCGCTCCCAGGGCTCCGTTTCGGAAACCGAAAGCCCCATCCCCTCCTGCGGGACCCCGCGTAGGGTCAGACCCGTAACCAAACCGCGCTCTCCGTCGTCACGCCGAGGGCAGTGCTCCACTGCGGCGCCCCAAGACCACCGGCATGGCACAAGCCAGGCCATAAGGTGTTTACCGCGGCACCGATCAGATCGGTTTACTGGTTTCCAAGCAAGTCGTGCCTTTGAAACCAGAATTATTTTGATCCACATGCTCGTGGGGATAAATATGTCCCGGGGGACGCTGGCAGGGAGCGAGGAAGAGCTCCGGGGGCATACTGCGGATCCGCACAAGCCGGCGGGTCTCCAGGGCTGCCGGGGTCGGATGCTCTGGTTTCACCCCAAAGCGGGGACCCCATC